AGCAGCAGCATCACTTAGCAATTTGAAGGTGCGAAGTACATACCGAATGTGGCAACCGCACTTGTTAGTATATCAAGTGCGCGTAGCGCGTCGGCCACACACTCGAACAGACAGACGATGTCATCGGCGTACTCCAAATCGCACAGCTTTTCCCCAGCTGTCCATTTAATACCTACGTTTTGGAGACAACTTAGTGCATTCTCCAGCATTTCGCCAAAGACGAAATTGAACAGTAGTGGTGGATTAAGGCACCCTTGACGAACGCCGCTGCTGGTGATGAATGGCCTACTTAGTTCCTTGTAGACCCTTACACGACCGGAGGTATGTGAGTACAGTCACCTCAGTAGGTTAACGAATTTCTGGGGCATTCCTTTTCGAAGGGACCCCATTAGAGCTGCGCGGTCAACTGAGTGGAACACTCCTTACCGGTCAAGAAACACCGCGATCGTTGGCCGACGGTGGGTGTGGCGCAGCTCAAGGACCTGACGCAACGTAAAGATTTGATCAATACATCCACGGCCAGGCCAGAATCCGGCTTGCTGTTCACGGATGTTGATCTCGCTTAAAGGAGTTAGATGTCGAAGTTTGACCGAAGCTAGCACTTTGGTGACGATCGGGATCAAAATAATCCCGCGAGGGTCTTCGCAATTGTTGCGGGATCCTTTCTTGAAAATAGGAACGATCAGTGATTCACCGCAACATGAAGGAATGCGCTCTTGCGACCATATGTTGCGCAGTAAGGTAGTGTTAGAGCTTACGAGGCCATCACTCACCCCTCCTCCCCAATCTTGAAGAGTAGGAGAGAGCTCATCCGGTCCTGATGTCTTTCCTCGCTTGAGAGCTTGAATGCAAGACCGAACTTCCGGTTCCGCTGTAGAATAGCACGATACTGCCCATGGAACTTCAGTAACGGGTGAAATAACCTGGCTAACAGCAGGCCAGCTGAAGTATTTCATCCAGCGGTCAACCCGTTGATCCCTATTGGGAATAGCTTGTCTTTGCTTATCACAGACCGTTTCACTAGCTGGAGTCCACCGACTGAAGGCTTGTATATAACTCGCTGAAGCTTGAATACAGTAAAATACAAGACAATATAGTGTATCAGTCGGAACAGTCTTTCGCGGTCGGCTTAGTGGCCAGTTTGCAGCAGATGGCAGAACAGTTTTTGACTATTGCTTGGTGCAGCTGATACTTCCGTTTCACTAACTATTGTTGCCCNNNNGCCCTTCTTGAGGCTTTTCGTGAGCTGACGTTGTAAATGTTACCTAAATCTTTTTTGATCCTGGCAAGTGGAGATTTGTCTTTTTTTATTTATCAGAGTTACTCATTCATTAGATATCCAGTGCCTCCGATGGGCTTGAGGCCTAGATCCACGAGCAACATTCGCCGTGGGATGCATTGCTCGCCTAATCTGATCCCACCGCTCATCCACATCACCACGTTGAGGTGCGCTTAGCTCATGTATTTGCTCTGATTCATAGCGTGCACGAACTGCTGGAACAGACAGCCCACGATGAGCTATCCGAGTTTGCCAGGTTCGTCGTTGGCCAGTCAGTTGAAGAGTGAACTACATCAAAACTAACGCGTGGTCAGACTCAACGTAGGTGGCCCAATAGGACCTACAGTTTTGCACTGAACCACACCAACGGTACCTTACTGCTATGTGGTCGATCTGAGTTAGCGCATCAGTTAAACTGAAGCTCCATGTGGCCGTCCGTCGAGAGTTGTATCGGAAGTCAGTACTAGATAGGAACAGATGATCTGCGCAGAACTGAAGAAGCGGATGGCCCTTATCTGTTTGTTGTCAGGGCAGAGCACAACTAAAGCCTAGGCAAGCTGTTGATGCGCTGTTTTTCAACTTGCGCGTTGAAGTCACCCGCAAGTACGACTGCGTCGGAGCTTCGACTCAATCGAATGAGATCGGTGAATTCCTCGTAGAAAGCGTCCTTTTGAGTATCCGAGCTGCAATTAGTCGTTGCGTATGCCGATACGATGAACAAACCCCGTTTGGTGTTGCTTCCCTTCCTACTGCTGATTGAACCCTGGAGACGCACTGTACATAAACGACTGGGACGGGGATACAATCGATATGAGAGGACTCAGTCCTGCTACTGAATACAATGCCTACCCCGCGCTAACACACTGAACGGGCTTCATCGTCACCTGATGTGCGAAGGACGTACCTCGAGGACAAATCTGACGCGCTCAAGTAGTAGGGTGCTGAATTCGATTCTCCGACATGGAGGTAATATCGATCGCTAAGGATTCCATTGTACGATCCAGACAAGCTTGTTGACCTAGCTGCATCAGAGCCCTCACGTTGACGGCCCCCAGATTCCGTGATTGATGAAGATTCAGAATCTGAAATCCATTTGGTGGTACATTATTTACAGTGCTATTTGACAACGGCTATTGGCGAGCAACATTCTGAGGAACTATTACAGGTCGGAAGCGGTGGCAGATGGGGAGACCTGGGTTCAGAAGACAACGAATTAAACAAGGTTTGGGATATCTGAGCATTGGCCCACTACTTATCACTATCCATCTCGCTTGATGCAATGGGCAGGGCGGTAATGATTATCCTGCGCGACCACCGATGCAGTGCGGAATTATTGTTTGCATCGGGATTTGGTGGACGGGTACAGCTTTCGTATCCGGCCACCAAGCAGGACGATTAGGATTCGCGTCCAAAGCCTTTAGTTCTGACAAGTACTTGACCTCGGAGCAGTAGGTGAGGCCCATTTGCTTGGACCGAATACTCCTTCTTTTCACTTACCGACTGGAATAAAGTTTCAGTTTCAGTTTTTACAACCATTAACCATGCACTTTCGTGCGCCGGTTTTGTGTCTGTCGAAACAAAAGTTCGAGTTGAACCCTCAACCTGAAGAACCAGGAGTCGACTTTGTCTAAATCCTACTCTTCGTCAATCCGGAATTGATTATATTTTCGTCTTGACAAAAGCCATTCTGTATAGCTCATTGAGTCAGAGTTGCTTAAGCTATCAAACCACGCCGGGGTGCAGTCTCGTGATGATCTTTGTTTCTTCAATAAATTCGCAATAAAAGCTTTTTAGATTTTCAAAGACCATCGCACAATGCACACACCGTCCTGTCCGGGACGCATCACAGATGAAATGTCGGCGCGCATACTAAAGGTTCGGTTGGCATTTGCCAACTTGATAAATCTGTGGTGCCATCGCGACATTCGACTGACTGTGAAGGGTCGAGTACATGCTGCAGCAGTTCGGCCAGTACTGCTCCACGGTGTTGAGACTAGGCCATTACGGGAACAGGATAAAAATAGATGGTATTTGAACACCGCTATCTCCGTCGCATTACAGGAGTCTGGTGGGGAAAGCGGACGAGTAATGCTGAGGTTAGACGTGGAGTTATGGGTGGTCGCGATCGTCCACTTGAGCAAGTAGTGACATGCGTTACGATGTCACTAGATAGATTGCCACAGCGAGCGATGTTCGCAGAGGTAGAGAGCGGTTGGGAAAAGGTCGAGGTTGGTCAGACGAAGACCTGGCATGAGGGTATGAAAACCTAACCAGAACACTGGGTCACAGGTCCCGTTGGGTCTCCTGGATGGGAACCACGAGATCTTAGTCACTGAGGCTTGGAAACAATGGTGCTCACGCACCTACTCCTAATACCAGTCTATATGAATTCTCCATCCTCCACTCTAGTTGATTTTCAACTTCGAATCTCCATCCTACCCTTTTATCGAAATGGGAGGCCAAAAGACAGCACTCAAAATCAGCGCGCGAAAGCGCATGGTTAATGGTTGTAAAAACTGGACTGTGGCTTAAGGTCCGTTTCGGCTTACCTGTCTACTGGCGTAGTGCAATGGCCTGTAATAACTACTCGCACTAGGGCATCACACACAGTCCTCCAACTCTAGTGAAACACAACTACAGCAGTTCGGATTCTTTCTGTCTTCCGCGATACGAATGCGCTCACGCTGACCACGCACACATCAACCACGGGATATGAGAAGCAACCAAAACTTCAAACGAAGAGTAGTCTACGCCTGGTCCTACAGCATCATATACCAGTGTTCCAGACGGAGCAGAAAGAGATTACCTGTGAAGTGAACTTCACACGCCCATCACACCCCAACAGACAAGCAGCCACCAATATAGGCAGAAAAGCTATTCTCCAGCTACCCAGTCAACATCGGCATTAAGCAGACCACATTAGCCTTTTTAGAAAACTTGAAATCACATTTGGAGAAACGAAGCACAAACCGCTGCCAACTCTCGCTTGACCGGAATTACAGTTACATGGGTTACCACGCGCACGAAGGCTCAAGAAACTGTCACCACCCTGTTATCGGGCAGGATACAAAAACTCAAACCAGGAGGACCAACGCAATTTTGATCAATCCAAAGTTCATGACAATTCGTATTTGAACGTCCAAAAGCCGTATTCAACCCCGCACTTTTATCAGCAAACCACGCACCCCAACACCTACTTCGTCGTAGGCACGTATAATATCAGCACTGCAGTGATGATAGGCCTAAGTTAATAAGCGCAAAATGCAGGTTGAACGGGACGCATAACACAAGAGGTGAGGTGCCAGCACACTTAAACACCTTGCAAGCCGTCAGCCCAGACATGCCGATTTTTGCAGCACACTCACTGACTCCAGGATTACAGCATTCTACGGTCACTGAATCTTTCTCATGCTGGGGCTCTGCAATCGATGACTACTAGGAACTCATGTGGACAGAAACGGCAAACGATCTCAACAGAAGTTCCCTGCGATTCTTTAAGCTTACTTGAAAACTGGGCGACCCAACCCGACAAATTACTGCCGCTCAGCGCACACCACCCCAAATTCTGCCAACTAATTGCAAGCAACAGTTCTGAAAGAGTTTTATTCAGTTGATGACTGGCACAGTTTAATAAAAGTGGCACAGAAAGGACAGGTACTAAAATGAAGAATAACGCAACAGCACTTCACATTAAATGCACCACCGTCTTCCAAGCGCTTGTTTAAACAGCATCAACGACCTCCCACTCTTTCTCTTCACTTTTTTCTGTATCTTCGGTTTTTTCATTATGCTAAAGTGTATCAAAACTTATATGCCAAAACACTTACCTCTTCAGTATTCTCAGTCTTTGATGCATCTTCTTCCTTCTTGCTTTTCTCGGCTTCCGCAGCGGCCTTTTCCGCCTCGCGCTTTGCCTTCTCCTTCTCAAACTGTTTGTTGATGTTATTCAGGACTGTCTCTAGTTTGTCCTTCGTCAGATAGAGCAGGTGTCCGTAGGCACTAAGCAACGCCTTGTTGTCATGTGCTTGTCGTTGTTCGCCTTTCAAACGTGAAGAAAGATCGTGACACTGCTCTCGGAGATTGTCTTCTGTATCCTTGAAGCCATTCAATTGGGTTCGTGTTTTCTCTATATGGATATTGTGATTAGAGCGAACTGACACCTTACCTAGTTCATCCTTTATTTGGAAGAACTGGAATTGCATCTGTCGTTTTAGCTCTTCTGCCTTATCCAGACGAGCAGCTAAATCTGCCGCATTTCCGCCGCCAACAATTATCCTTCAGAAATGCTTAAGGATAATGGAAACATACCTTGCGGGAGTGGGCGGCTGAGTTGTGTCAAACAAAGCCCGATTGCCTAGTGCAAGCATTTTGGTTACTTCCGTGTCTTCATTTTGATCTGATCGTAATGTCACGACATCTTTTTCATCACCTTCGACGATATCACTGTCTGTCAAGTTATGATACTCGACATGATCTCGTCGACTGATCACTTTCGACACAAGCTTGCGCATCTGAATTGTAAAGCATATTATAAAGAGAATGTGTAACGTACCTGAGACTTTGAATAACGAAGATCAAGAAGATGCAGGAGTTCACAAAGATCGTGGTCTCGGATATAGCCTGCATGACCCAGGTCAAAGTAGGTAAATGCAAACAAAAGATCGGGGCGCGTTGTTCGTCGGAGTTTACGAACCTTGCTCTCCTCAACGTGTTCTTCATGTGCCTGGCTCTCCTCTCGTCGGCGCTTCAGATCAGGTTCTTTTTCATCTTCTTCCACACCGTTCTCGACCCTGAAACACACATACTCGTGTAATGATATACGTTATGACAAAACATTAGAAGCGTGAACAAAGCAAGCACACTTAACAAACGGCTAAATGCCTATCCAATCATGACGCGCCTAATCATAGACGACGACAAGTCGGATGGGCAGCACAGACATTATTCGAAATGTAGATTCGCGTCAGTTCAAGAACAATAGTCCTCGTACTTTCCGTCTGGTTCAGCTTTAAGCTCCTTCTCAGGTGCGTCGTGTATCGCCTTGAAGATCTGGAAGGCGCAATCGCGCTGCAGCATTTCATGGAATTGTTCGGCGAACAAGGAGACTTCGAAATTGTGTTCCTTTTGCTCTTCCGTTCGGTAATCAAGCAGTGAGAACAGAGAGACGCGATGACAGTCAAAGCGGCCGCCTCTTGCGGCTTTGTTGGGATGAATAATGATAGATGGTTTCTCGTTCAGACGATAGATTCGCTCCAAGCGCCGACGATCTTTTTCACTCAGTTCCTTGGATTCCTCCTTCGGCTGCGCCGTTGGGGATGTGGCCTTAGCTGGTGTTTGTTCAGCTAAATACAAGCAGAAAGAAGGACGTTAGGTGAAAGTCAGCGGCCGATCCATCACATAAAAACATCGCAACTGAAGGTTGATCGATGTGGGTTCACTCCTAGTGCTCCACTTATCTATCCATTGAAAAACCCGTCCTAAAGAGTTACCTGACGACTCAAGAATAGGGCTAACATGCGATATGAATCAGGACTCACCTTTCTTCTCCTCTGCTTCGGTTTTATTACCCTCAGCGGTATCAGCCTTCCGCTCCTCGTCCAAAGCAGTCTGCAGTCTGGAAACAAGGTTCACTTTTAGCCCCTTTGTATCCAGATTACGAGCCGCCAGTTCATTGCGTAACTCATTAACCTAAATGCAAAATTCACTGAGAATGCCATGAAAAGTTACCTTGAGTGAATTAATGTCTAGTTTCGAATAATGGGTAGGCTCCATGTCCGAGCGTGTGCCCGACTCCTCGGTTTCTTCCATACTGGCCTCAACGACAGACGTATCCGGCTCTGGTACTTCTGGCGCAGTTTCGGGTTTCGGCTTTTCTTCGGGTGAGAGTAACTTTTGTAATACGCTTGAATAATACTCCCTCGTCTCACTCCACTTATCCTCGGAAGGAATCAGATGAGCAGCATTGGGAATGAAGAAAACGACCACTTCGGGGCCCTCAGTTTTAACAACGCGTTCTTCATCATCGCCGTGAAAAGCTGGGGCCTTTGTGTCCGGATATCGGTAATATCTGAGTTCCATGAAGCGAATCCTGAAATGAAACATTAGCGCAAATCAAAAATGGACAACCATTCAGTGCAGGACGACAAGTCGAATCCAGTGAACCCTTTGAACGTCCTTATAGCCGTGTTGATGAGTGTCTTCGGATCCCCACCGGGGTTGCTGCCATCCAGGCTAGGTGACCACGGACCACCAATAGCCATAGTCTCACTTTTAGCACGTCCACCGACCAGGAAATGCATATTCTTTCCTGGGGCCACTTTATCAGTACCTGCGGGGTCATCAGCTACGCGCAGAGTATTTTTATACAGCTCTCCCAAGTTAGGGCAAGCCATGAGCATCACTCTCGCAGAATATGAGTAATCGGCATCCGGAGGGTTAAGTAACGAAGTGTCCGCTGGGACTGGCGGGTCAACATCTCGGTGGAACACCTACGTACGATGATATCATTTTTTTTAACGAACTTACATGATAGTCACTCCCGCTTCCCAGTTTAAATGGACTGTGAAGTGGAAAAGCACGACACCAACTGGATTCGCACTCATAAACATCGGATGCGACATTTAATCGTGGATAAGCGTGCCTCAATTCTGCAACACTTTTGGTGGCAATGTTGAATACAGTCTTGGGAAGCTTCACTTCATACTTTCCGAGTGGAGGTGGGCGCTTCCCAAACGGCCTATGATCTCTGCGCTGACTCGGAGGTGTATCGTGATAGCGCTTCTCAACAGGACTCCTGCCTTTAGGCGGACCACGTTTACCGCCTCGAAAATCATCGCGACGCTCGGAACGCGGACGATAGTCGTCGCGGTAACCGCCATAAAATGGCTTACTCACCGGTGTTGCGTTGTACGGCCTACGGTCGGCGGGCGAGGTAGATGTCATATAAAATCCGACGCCCACTCCCCCGGAGCCCACGTAACCACCGCCATAGGGTGCTAAAAGTCCGTCAAGAGAATTTCCTTTCGTGAGAACCGATGTTTAATGTTCAACAAAACACGAAAAAAACTAGTCAAGGAGACTCACCATTTCTACTCCATCGGTTCGCCATGATCGCGCGCAGCGGAAAACGATATGTACCAAGCTTACTAAAACAACGCGCGCCTAAGGTGAGGAACGAGCTAATTTGTATTCGGACATGAGTAACTATTTAAATTAACTAAAAACGAAATTAAACTATTTCTGTGGCTCTTCCGTAGCACTTTACTTGAAATCATATGGGCCAACGTGAGCTACCAATTCGGTTCATTTTGTGGCACAGAATGATGACTGCAAGTCTTGAAGTCTTGAAGTAATTTACGGGTTCGAGGCTGTTGCCCAAATGTCCCGGGTCCTTGAGAGGTATCTGTGTTTTCTTTTGGTTCGAACTTCTAGAACAGAGAGTACTGAAAAGGCATTAGTAGGGTTCTCCGCTCGAGGCGAGAACTAAAATGAAGACTTGCGAACTCTCATACAACTTGCCAGGTCCTCCAGTTTCTTGCACTGGTGAACTCTAAAGAGAATGGTGCAACGACAATAGGATCAAGGGGTTCATTTTCCATGAAATACACGTGTTGGGATAACTAGGAGAGTACCCCTAAGATGCGAGACCATTGATTTTGGCCACGAACCCGTGTAATACTTCAAGACCCCAAACGCAATGTCCCACTCCGAGGGAGTTTGTGCAGACTTAGTAATGCTTTCTAACCAGCCGTATCAGAGAATCAGCCCTGTCCTTGGTTTATTTCAAGACATTTCCTCAAAGGGGAGTGGCTTCAATTGGCTCCATCAGCGTTTGGGTTGCGTTTAAATAACGGGAACCTTGCAGCGGTCATTTAATCGTCATTTTCGCAACAGCAGTTTTCTCTGTTTGCCTTCTTCTTTCCCCTACGTTGCACAGAACTGAATATGGCAACGGCCAATCGAGCGTCCAGGGTTCCTTCGATGGTATGCTCACTACGTGGGCACTCAGCTCTGCTGTAATAAGAATAAGTAATAGGACCTTATCTCACCAATTTGGCGAGCGAATTGTTGTACGTGAACGTTCCATTACGTGCACCAGTAAAAAGGGGAATGGCATCTCAAACATTTGGCACATTTACACTCATCTACACTGCCAGAGATGGGATTAGTTCCACCCATCGTTTAACAAGTGCAAGTGTTTGGGGGCGGCCAGCTCAGCAAACAATAGTTTCATAGAACAGGACCGAATTTCAATCGAGGCACCTGTGAATAGGAGGCAAAAGAAGCTGAAAAGCAAAATGCAGACTAAACTCAACCCGGTTTGCTAATCAGCCCCACCGAAAACCAAAAGAGAACTCCTTGAGGCTCCTCCCAGTCGCAACCGGGTGCGTCGGAACACACCGCTAAAGCGGCCAGAGGCCGATAAAGGACCAACCCTTCACTCTTTGAATAACCGTTCCAGCGGTGTACCCTCCCAGGTCAAAACCGGTAAAAACGGGCAATTTTTCGGCCGAAGGGGGCGACTGGTCGACCGCCGGAGAGGTTCGTAAAGAAAGCCCCTGTTATGGTGAGATACCCTCCCAAGGTAGCCCTCCGACCAACGTACGCTCAAACTGTACGTCGACCACCATTGATGTCCCTTCCGACTGCTCACATAGTCCCGCCTTTCTCCCTAACAAACTCAAGAACGCTGATGGATGCATACTTAAATGCATTTCTAGCAACTGTTTTAGCCTCCCAAAAATAAATCTTGAGTTAAAGCAACGTATCTTAGAGCAACAACCCCATATTATCACCCTCATTGAGAACTGGCTGAACGACAATGTTCCGGACGGGGTGTATTGCTCGATGTGTGAAAGTCCTTCCTGTAAATATCAGTCGTTCCATCTCCGTTCCACATTTCGTGAATTTTACGTTCCATTCACCA